CAACTTATTCATTAATCAAAAGTATTCTTTTCACGAAGAAGGTTTTTACAATGAGGATATAAGCTAATATATTGGGATAGTTTTTTAATTGTAGAGTACATTTAATGTTAGTTCGTAAATAGAGTTCGATTTTTGAATTTTCCTTTCGCTTGTTTTATCGACAAAAATTTTTTTGAAAAATTCTCAAATGCATCGTGAAAAAAGTCACTAAATAAATTCAAATATCTAAGTTTCTTATGGCTGAAAAAGAGAAATTCAAAAAATAGACCCTATTACGACCTAATCCTAACTATATGCAGTGTAATAAAAAGCATTACCACTTTTATATTAAGTTATTATTAATAATAGTTTGTTCGTGTAAACGATATACTCGAAAAAGCTAATTGTGAGAAAAAAACAACAAACAGTGTTTTTTCGATTTACTGAGGGTATCTATTCAAAATATATCTGCGTATATTATCGAAGAAGTGTAAGTGAGGACAAGATCTATATTCTATTCAAACTCTCACGCACATCTCCACACCCCAAATATGCACAATCATTTTATGATGATCGAAATCTATATGAAATTGATTTTCGTATTATAAAACTACGGAGTTTTCCATTCAATGCAATCTTATATTTCTCAGTTAGAGGATCTCCCTTTAAAATTTAACAGAAAATACCTAATCTTCTTTTTTTGACAAAAAAAATATTATATCAACTTAAAGCCCATTGCAAGGAATATCAGAATAAGTATAAATCTCGACATCGATTTGTATTCGGATAATCAACTTTTCTAAGGAGCTCGTAAATGTATCTAATAAATTGTTCTAAATGAAAACATTCTCGAAATGATAAAATTTCAGAGTACAACTACCAACTATAAAAATCGTTATAATTTTGATCGATTCATTTATTTGGCATTTTTCTAAAATAAATTATTTTAACCACTCTGATAATATACCATCGATATATAACAGTCAGAATTTGTAAGTTTCACATTGTGGTTTCTCATGGGATCGCATTAACAAATTTATTTATAGTTAATTCTCTGAATTTTATCGATGAAATCATTATAATGAAATTTTCTATGACTATTTCAAATATATATGACATTGAAAAACTTCTATGATTTGTTTTCTGGTAATTGAAAATTATCAGATACTTTTATTCTATAAGATATCCAATATCAATGTTTATGTGTAGAGTCCATGCATTAGATTCAATACAATTAGAGTAATCAATATTTTCTCTAAATTTATGCTGTAATTTAGTATCAACCGTTATGTGATCCTCGTTCCCATGTGTCAAGTATGTATATAAGTTGTGAAATATGAGTTCTTGTATATTCTTCTGTGAACATGGTAATATGATATATTATAATCACAAATCAAGGTATTAAACAGAAAAGCTTGATAAATATATTAATTGTAAATTTTCGATATAGAAAATAAGCTTTGAATATTCTTTTTGATTTGATATTTTTACTCTTTAAATGAAATAATTGGTTTCTATGTGGCAGAAAACATCTTAAATTATGCTGAAAGTCTTTTAATCTTCATTGATAGATTCAAAATCATGATTGAATTACTCATAGAATAAAGTTTAGGATATTTCTATAATTGTGATTCTGTTAATTAGTATGATTCAATGTGTATATTATTTAAAAAAAAACCATATTTTTAAGAAAGAAATTCTTTATCTAAATTTTTTGTATATTTCATTGCGAAACGATACTAATATACAATCAATCCATTATACATTTAATTAACAGAAAACAGATGCTATCCTATAATCAAATAGAATTTATCAGATTATCTTGGAACTATCATATGTACCAACCAACAATATCATTCCAGTTAATATGTATATAATTGATAACTAATAAAGACAAGGAGCTATTAAGTCAAACATACATATAAGAGTTTCTTGTCTGTAAAATTCTAGTTATAATGTATTAAGTACCAGTGCTCGACTATGAGGTAATTTCTATTATCGGCAATTTTTTTTTTCGCTTTCTTCTATATAAAAAATAAAATTGAACTGTTGAATATTGATAATTTCTAAAATATTGCTATTTTATGGTTGAGAGTTACAGTTAAAATTTGAGGATCTTTTCTTAAAACATCCAAAATTCAGCTAAAAATATATGATTTTCACTTCAGAATTGTACTATATACCCTAAAGTACATTTTACAAACATTTACGCCATGTATGAAGATTAGATTATATTTATTTCAAGAAATGCATTGAAAATGAACAATCACTGTTGACAGATACAGAATAATAAGGATGAGGAACAAAGAATCGTTCATTCTATCAAATCTTCTACACTTAATATTCGTCATAATTATGTAAAAACATAATGATTAAAAGGCAGATGATATCCATAGGCTAAATATTATCAAGCAGACTGCATACTCGCCGTAACCTCAAGTCAATGGATTTATCTTGCATCTTTTTCACTAAACATATACATATATGAGCAAAAATTAATAACATATTTGAGATCATCCAAGAAAACAATATTGTCACATGTTAGCATCTGCTTTGCATTTATGGGTTATTCAAAAATTAAAAAACTTCAAAAATAACATACTAAGTCTTCTATGTTAGTACTGAATGTGTTGGTGACGATTTTCTATAGTTTCAAATTCAAATCTCTTGTTAAAAAAGAAACCAAAACCTCCTTAAATAATATATCTAGCAAGTAAAGATGAGATCAGTTGAGATTTTTCAAGGTTAAACCAAATTGAATCGATCTCATCTCTACTAACGAAGGAAGTTTTCTAACTGATAAATTGCTTTTGAGTCAGAACTATGTACATTACATACTCTGGAAAGAATTTGTGCTTGTAGCGTACTGCTGCAGAGATACCGAATTTTCACAGTATTTTTCAATAAAGGTCGTGGTACAGTAAAACTGGTTTTGAGAATTCTATTCTCAGATATAGTCTATGATAATAGGGTGTCTTTGACATCATTCACATAAACCGTCAAATTTGATATTCTTATTGCAAGATAGAAGCAAGTCAAACGACTTGAAACTTTTACGAAACTATTCTTGTTAAGGCCTATCTCTATAAAAAGCCTCAAGTCAAAACTCGAAAATCAGTTTTTTTGGACCACCACGAAATTGATTTGAAAAACAACGTAAAAGTTCTGTATCTCCTAAGTAGTAAGCTAAGGACATGAATTTTATTCAAAATAATCCTACCTCATTCGGATCTGCATGATATACATAGTCTCAACTCAAAGGTGGTAAATCTATTGGACAACTTCTCTCATAAGTTGAAAAATTTAAATCATTATTAGTTATTTCAATGATAGCATTGAATATCTGTATTTCCAGTAGGCATCTATATCAGCATATCATCATTTTAATTTATGGCTTCTATTGAACTATTTAATCATTGTCGTCTATATTCAATTGGTAATTCAACATCTTCGTATATCGCATTATAATTGTTAAAAAAGAAAAAGAAAAAGATAAGAGCAAAGACAACACTATATATAAAAAGAAGCTGATCAAATACAATTGAAATTCATTTTCAATCGTCGATCTTCTTTCGTTATTCACTCTTTTCTTTCCATCTAATCAATTAAACGAAACACACACACGCCTGTAGGCGGATGAACATATATATATATATATGCATATACATATATATGTATAGCTTTATGCATATGCATAAAAAGACATGATCCCAATTACAAATAAATCAAGGTGAAATCACGAATGAATGACAAAAAAGAAAAAAAAATTTTCTTCTCTTCTTAATTCCAAAAGTTCAAGTACATATCATAAAAACCAAGCATCGTATTTGCCTAAAAATTATTCGATCAAAAAACTAAACATACATCGATCTTTACATGAACAAAAAGAAGAAAAAAAATCATTATTATTAATTGTTGTATATAAAACTCATCAAATAGTTGTATACACCTGTTTTATCTTTTTTAATATGTAAGTAAAATGAGAAAAAGAGAAAATAATAGGGATACAAAAATACAAGGGCATAGTGAAAATAACCTCATTTTCTCATATGAACACGAAAGTGAGAGTATGTCTTTATTCATTTCTCGTCTTCAATTTCTTGTTATCTTATTAGTTTTATGCATGGTAATACTCATAAATCACATTCGTATATATGCTGTTGGCAGAATGACCCGGACATATACATACACACACTTGCTTTTCCATTGTATGCTTTCATCATGTTTATAGGTTTTAATCATCAGTTCACCATCTGTTTCGAGACTCATCATCATTCTTATGTATATTTATCTAACGAAGATTCTCTCATCATTATTGTCGATTAGAAGACAGGAAGAAATCATTTTCTTTTTTTTTTTTTCAAAATCACATCAATATTCTCGTTATCAATTACAAACATCTGATAGATTCCTGACATACTAGTGAAAACAAACGTTTTCGCTCATTATTATTTGTTTATACAATCAGTGAATAGAGATTAGAGCAGTTATAGACGAAATCTGGTTATGATCATTTATAATACACAATTTTTTTTTTCTTATAAAATAACTTTAGTTTATAGATTAGATCTTCGTGTTTTGTTTTATTCTCAGTTTATCAATCAATTCAACCATGGTTGGCCGTTCGGTAAGTTTTTGTACTATCATTTTTTTTTTTTTTTGCAAATTATGTATTCTATAACGATCGAATTAAAAGAAAAAACAAATATTTTCATAAGGAACACTGATCTGATGATGATCAAAGAAAATTTTCAATATATTCCGGAATACTTGTTGTATATTAATGATAGCCTAAGGCTAAAGTTTAGAAAATCAATAGAATCAACTTTTGTTACTATGTACAACTAGGTGTTAGATGTTATTGAAGAAAGCGGTTAGAATTCAATATTGACTGGAATATAAAGTTGTAAAGAGAAGTAATGTGTAAGTGCGCGAAACAATAAATTATATCAGTTTTCTTTTTGTACTTTCTTTTTTGCATTGATTAAATAAAATCTCACTTTGTTGCGACGAAAAAAAAAATGACTAAAAAAAATCCTTCAAAACAATCAAGTAAATCACATAAGAAGAATAAGAATCGTGTTGGAAAACAAGCCGATGCTTATCGTATATTTTTTGCTGAACAACAAACACATCGAACTGAATTAAGTTCAATGTCAACTAAAGAACAAATGAAACTTTTAAAAGCTGAATGGCAAAAATTATCAGCACAACAAAAACAAGCCTATAAAGTTAAAGCTACTGATGAAATAAATCATCAAATACTTGATAAAAAAGAATTAACTTCTGATCGAATTAAGTCAGGTACAAAAACTAAACTTGATAATAAACATCATTCGCATGGAAAAAGTCCATCACAAAAGAAGACAAAACGAATGAATCAAAAATCAGCCACTCGAAAAATGACTAATCATAAACAATATAATCAAATTGAAGCACATGAAACTGTTGAAATGCTAATGAATAATTCGAAAGAATAAATAATAAATTAATAAAAATTAAGATTTTTCTCATGAGAGTTTTATTATATAGTAGACAATCCTATGAGTGACATTTATTGACTCGTTATTAAGTCTACCGATCACACATGAATATATTATTCATCTTTGACCATATGTGTATGTAAATCAAGAACGAATTGACTTTTTTTCCTATTCTTTTTTCCTAAGTAAAATAGTTCTAGTCAAATAGTTCCCTTGAAATGATGATAGACATATATAATCGCTGTTAAACACGCGATATATATACGAAGTTTTGAATAACATTAGGTCGTAGTCTAATTGTATTGATTCAAATAAAAAAGAAACCAAGTTGAAATTTACACAATGTAAAAGAGCAGCGAAAGGGATCAGAAAAGATAATAAGAGAGATGATTCTTTTTCTCTCTTTTTTTTTTCTTGACGATGTCGTAGAACGACAAGCTTCTTCGTTACTCTCAATTGGTGCTTGCCACTGATTGGGTATATGCATTTGAAGCTATTCGTTTTTTTTTTTTTTTTTTTATTATTTTCTCTCTATTTCATTATTTAGAGAAGAGAAGGAGAAAAAGAGAAAGCGAATAAGTGCCAGAAACGACAAACATTGTAAAAAAAAAATAAGCAGAAGAGAGATTGAATCAACATCAGAGAACCACAACTTGTTTGATTCATAATGTCGGCAATCACCGATATTAGTAATAGTAATTTTTCTGATATATCAGGCAGAACAACAGAACGACTTATACAAAATATTCCAACATTAATTAATCAAAGAAAAAGTGTAAGTCAATGAATTGATTCATTCTTTCAAAAAAAATTTGAATTATTACACTGATAAGACAAGACAGGGTCAATATTTCACCTATGAAATATGGCTTTATCAATTTAAAAGAAATTCCCGAACAATGAATCAATCATTATAGTTAGTTTCTCCTTCAATCAGATCATAATCATTGATTGAAGTAGTAATTCGTGATGCTACTAGTAGTCTCAAGTGTGCTCTTTTGAATAGAATATATATATATATATATATACATACACCTGTACTACATTGAGTCGATCTAATTTCACTATCTAAACAAACGGACCGAGTAAAGAATAACGAGTTGAATCACAGGCATATGTGATTTTTTTTTATTCGCTTCTTGAGCAAAAGAATATTGTATGTTTATTTTTCTATGTCAATAATTTATGAATGCCGCCATCACACATTGATCATGCATGATGATAACTGAAATAACATATCGACTGTAAATCATTTATGCTTAATTCGTCTAGTGTAAATGTGTAACACAATGTGTGGATACGATAGTTGACCTATCTTTAACTATTTGTACTTATTTTATACTGCTTTGTTTTTTGTATATAGCCTATGACTCTCCAACGACAAGAAATCAAGGAACGCTTAGATGCCGGACCACATAATAAGACAATTGTCGATTTAGATGAGATCATCGAAAAATGGGTAAGTTGAAAGATGTCTTGTAGTGTATATAATAATGATAATTTACATATGGAAAGAGACTAACACGCAGCAGGTGTGCATATATAACATTGTTTTACTCATTGATCAATAGACTGAACATAATCGAATGATGACTATTGTGTCATATGGATAGACATTCAAAATTTAAAAAGAAAAAAGAAAAGAATATGATTATATGTTTTTTTTTAAAAACTATCGTCAAATTTACTTTTCAAACAAAAAAGAAAATCTAATAAGAGAATAATGTTAAGTAAAATTATCATAATTGAATAAAGAAAGAATACATGCTTACTGAATATTGCTGGACAGGGAACTACTCGAATCGTTACTCACCATTTGAACTCATATTGAGTTCAGAAGAAAGCAGTATTTTACATAGATTTTCCCTTCTGGAGTTGAAAATTTCAGGAAAGTAAACATCTGTCTTTTTTTTTGGGAGTATAGATACAGAATACATGCTACATTAAATACCAATGTCTGAAGGGCGTCATTCTTTTAATTCTCAAGCTGTATAAAAACACTGCAAGAAAGTCTTGACAAGACTAGAGAAAGCTGCAAAGAGTTCGTGTTCACAGAATTCTCAAGTCGAGCTGTGACTGCTTTAGTAAAATTTCGACTCATTATTAGATATTTACTGGAAAGTCAAATAATAGAATTTCAACATTTAATTTAGCTTATAGATAGATCTAATGCACCTTCACATATTCTTTTGTCGAGATTTTGAGTTTCCAAAACAAATGATCGTTTGTCACAAACTAAAGTTTGCTTAAAAATTCAATATCTTCCCAGAAGGGCTATGCCAAGAGTCATTAGAGGTATGTATGAATTGAATTTCAGGTTGAAAATTCAGTAAAATGGTCATTGCTGGCTATTGATAAAATATGCCCTAAGCCACACTGAACTTCATTTTACTTGGAACTTATACCAGTCGATAGAAATTCAGATTCTGAGTTTACTAGGACTCTACTCTGAGCCAAAAGCGCAAAAAATGAAATATTCAGAAAAATGACGTTAGATGAAGTTGTAGTAAATGTCCGATGCCTCTAATCAGTTCAAAACATGTAGCAAAGCTACATTTGATTCCATTTTTTTAACATGTATTTTATTGAGGTTTTAGCTCAGCGCGGAGTTCACTAAACTCAGAATTTCAAGCTCTATCGACTGGTATATATTTCAAGTAAAACGGTACTCAGAGTCGATCAGCATATATATTATCAATACTCATCATAATTCTCCTTCAAAGATCCATAGAATTGAACTCTTTTAAGATTTTTTCTCGTCTTACTAAAACCTCATTATGACTCTAATACGATTTTCAACAATATATTTACATTTGAGGATGGTTTCCTCGTGAGATGAACTGATGACACGAAAACAAACCAATCATCATCATCATCGATTTTTCATGCGTCATATTGATTTTATTAGGATATAGTTAACTTTATTTTATTTTATTTTTTATAAATTATTTATTAGGTATGGAAAATGTGGGAACTATCAAAACGTAGTCGAGAAGAATCAAAATATCGTCGTGAAGAACTTGACATAAAACTAAATTGGAAACGTGTAAATTTTTGGCAATCAGAAGCTACATTTACTCGTTCAGCTCAATTACGTATGCCTAAATCTCAAATATTATTTAAAACATATTTCTCAAATAATACTGATCGTGAACAAGAATATTCATTACGTGCTCAACGTTCAACAATAACAACATTAAATTTTATATTTATGCGTGGTTTTACTAAAGAAAAAGAAGGTTGTGTAACTTTTAAATTACCAAATGAAGTTTTAGAAGTTGGTGGTGGTCTTCGACATGAACAACGTGTTGAATATGGAAGAGATTCAACATTTGAAACACAAATGACATGGTCAGCAGATTCAACTATTCGTGTTTCACCACATTCAAGAGCAAATGCTGAGTAAGATTTTTTTTCTTCTTTCAATATAAATTTGGTTGATTGTCCTTTTTTTTTTTTTTTCCTTAGATTATGTATAACAGAAGAAGAATATTCAGCTGATTTTTCAATTGAAGTACGTTTTAGTGGTCGAATATCAGCAATGATTAGTACACGAAATAATACAGGTGGTTATTATAAATATATGGAAGGTGATTTAGCAACAATATTTTCTGATGCATTACGTTCAGGTAATTGTGGTGCGAGTTCTGGTCAATTTGAAGTGCATGAACAAACACAAACAGTTCGAACAATGATGTTAGGTAAATGTGCATTTCGATATGGTATTGAACAACATGTTAATGTTGAACAAGGAAAATTAGCTGATTTATCATCAACGGTAACTAATGAACCACCACCAAAATATCGTCCAGTATTTACATCACATAATATTCATTGAAAAAAATCAATTTGTATATGATTTTTTTGTTTGTAGTTATCATGCTTTTGTTTTTTTTTTGAAAAAAAAGACAAGATGAATATGCTTGCTTGAATGTTTATTTCCTTTTTAATATCGGAATGCAAACAAAAAATATGCTTCAATTGAAAATGAAAATTTTCACTAAAAAATTTTAATTATCAACAGTAAAATAAGTTGCATCAAGAAGTCCAAGTCGATTATCAGTTACATATTGTTGAAGTGGAAAACGTAAACGTTGTTCACGTCCGATTTTCTTTTCGGGTATTTTATCTATTGATTGATAAAGTAAGAATATGTATCGATGAGGACCAGAACCAGCTGGAGGTGCAGGTCCATTGTATGAATCTATTTATAAATATAACATATAATTTTCAAAATAGAATCGTTCAAAATGTAAATTACATAATGTATGACCATCTGTAAGATTATTATGTTGAAAATTAGCCACAAGCCAATGAAGAACAGGACCTTTGACAGCATCATCACGACTTGGTGCATCTGGATCGACCATAATCTTAATTGGAAAAAAAGAAGTAAATAAAAAAAAAATAAATAATGTAAAATTATTACCAATGTTCGAAAAGTTGAATCATCGATATTTTCGACTTCAACTTTTGGTTGTGATTGAGTTTCTTCTTTACTCAAAATATTATTACCATCAAGACTTTCATTTTCACGATACTGTATAATAAAATCTTGTTTTCTTTTTCGATGAACAGGTCTAACTTCATCTAAATTTTTCAGCACATAGGCAACATCTGAACTCACACTTGCACTCATATTTATAATCCGTAAAAAAACAATGAATCTAAAATTTAAAATTCTACTGCTTACTTTGTTTTATTGAAAAGTATTTGACCTGTAGTATATATATTTTTTTAGTTTTATTTTTCCTATACTCTCTGTGCGTAAATCATTGTGCACGCATTGACCCTACATGATACCTTATGTTTTTTTTTTGTCAATAGTAACTAGACAACAAATAAAATGAAAGAAAACATACACAAAAAACTTTTGCAGGATTAATAATATATTAAGTCTACAGTTCTATAGATATTTGTTTTTAGAAAATCAAATAAAATTCATGTTGAAAGATAAATCTTTGAGATAGAATACATGTTCATATTTTTATATGTTA